TTATAATTAGGACCGGAAGTAAAAAAACTTTTCCAATTACGTCAAATGGATTTATTTGACGAAGTTATCAATTCCCGTGACCGCATGCACTTCCAAAATTGGACACGCAAAGTGGGAAAAAATAATTTTAGACTCTTTCATTCTCGAGAAAATTATACTTAAGAACCAAAGTGAAAAATTATTTATAGACAGAGGCATCAAATTTCTAAAATTCTTTTGCAAGATCAAAATATTGATTAAAATGTCCTTTAACTTTATATAAAGTTTTAATTTAATTTTTTAATTTTAACAGATATATTTTTAGTATTTTAAATTTAAAATCTTAACAAAAAATGATAATATTAAGATCTTAAATATTACTAAATATTTCTAATATATATTAAGTTTATTTTTTAAAATAATTATGATTGTTATAAAAACTATAATTTAAAACTAATAATTTTAAGATTAAAGGATTAAAAATATAATTTTTAAAATTAAGAGATTAAATTGAAATCTTGTATAAAATTAAAAAAAATCAAAGATATAGTTTAGCCAAAAGATATACAATAATTGAAATATTTTTTAAACAAATAATTTATCTAATTTAGCAGTCATATATGGTGAATTTAATACTCGTAGAAAATTTATCAATGAGACTAAAAAATTTAGCCTCGCATGATAAATTTAAATTCTCTACGAGCATTTACCAAATAAGACGAATTATTTGTTTTATGAGCATTTCTACAATTTGTTTTCACTTTTTATTCAAGGATTGGCTGATATAACATTTTAAGAAATTAACATTATATATATAAATAACTTCATATTTTGGTCCTTAACTATAATTTCTCTTAAATTTGGCAGAAATCATGTTGTCATTATTGGGGCCCCGGTGGTTTTCCGCAAAAGCCATTGGTTTGTGATAACATGGTGGGGATCCGGAATGTCATTTAGTTATTGAAAAAAGATCGAATCCCCAATCTCCCGCCATCATCACAATCCTTAAAAGAGCAGATATTTCCGCCTTTCTCTTCCGTGAAGATGGAGTTGCCTGTGGTGGATCTCTCCCCCTACTTGGCCGTCTCCGGCGACCTCAGTTCCGACCTAGTTGCGCTTTGCTCTGAGGTGAGTCGGAGTCTCACGGAGACCGGAGCTCTGCTCATCAAGGATCCCAGATGCTCCGTCCAAGACAACGATCGCTTTATCGATATGATGGAGAAGTACTTCGAGAGCCCTCAGGAGTTCAAGCGCCGCCAGGAGAGGCCTCATTTGCATTACCAGGTAAGGATGGTCCTAATGGTATGGATGTTTGGTTGCCCAGAAAGTTTCGGTCTTGCAAAGTTTCCTGTTTTAGCATTGATGTGGGGGTGGTGAATACATTCAATTTTCTTCAAGTTGACTTCTTTGCGCCTTTAAAGTCACAATTTTGATAATTCTGCCGTATTGTTTGCTCTAAATTAAATGATAGGATCAGGATTCAGCATCGACTTGTAAGCTTTTCATATTGCTTTTGCTTGATTTGTGAGAATGTAGTCTTGCATGATATGGGCTTGGTTTATTTTTAAAAAGTGTAAGTCTTTGAGTGAATCGTTAAAACTCCTTTAAGCCGAGATCGTTTTGCATTTGGGCATCCCTCCATGTTACTTGTTCATTCAGTTATGCTGATTCTGACAAATAAAACAATACTTTTCTCTAGACGAACGAAACCCAATACTAGTAGGCTACTTTACTTCGTTAGTTTGCGTTGTTAGTACTTATTTTAATCACTATAAAGTATACAGAGATCATCAGTGGCTTACAGTCAGTCTAGTTCAAACACAGATGATAAATCGATTTCATATATTATACGTGGAGAAAGTCAAGACTGGAAATATCGATTATGAAAAGAGAAGTTTTGTGTAATTTGGTGGTATTCATGGCCAAAGGACTTTGTAAGAATTGTTAATAAAAAAAATGGTCGTATAGGTTGGGGTTACACCAGAAAGAGTGGAAGTTCCAAGAAGCTTGGTTGATGAAGAAATGCAAGAGAAACTAAAAACAATGCCAAAAGAGCACCAACCTCATACTCCTGTTGGACCTGATCTCAAGTGGCGATATTTTTGGAGAATTGGTCCTCGACCTTCAAACACTCGTTTTCAGGTCTCTCATCTCTTTCCTCTCTTTGGCCATCCAATATTATCTAGTTTGCATAAATCATTCCTAATATTATCTTAATTGTTCAGGAACTCAATTCAGAGCCAGTTATACCTGATAGTTTTCCTGAATGGAAAGAAAACATGGATTCCTGGGGATACAAGATGATTTCAGCAATAGAAGTGAGTGTTTGTGTGGTTTTTCACCTTTTTCCTTCGTTTTTATTTATGTATATGATTTCAGTGGCAGTGCATATCTTATTTAGGTGGTTGCTGAAATGGCAGCTGTTGGCTTTGGGCTACCAAAGGATGCATTCACTTCTCTCATGAAGCAGGTGTCCACTTTTGTCAATTAAACTGGAACCTCATCCATCTATATCCCTTTCCCAGTAGTAGCTGTTAGGTGGTTAATTATTTTGTCAGTAAACGTTAACAAATGCTATTGTTAATAAGAAGCTAAAAACAGTGCCAAAAATAAAAGTTGTGCAGGTACAAGTGTTCTTTGTTAGGTATGCAACAGCTTTTACAATGTGTTGATTACAAACTTGATATTCATTGCCTTTTGATCAATGTCACTCGTGCATTTGCAATTGATTCTTTTCTGTATGTGATAGTAAAGGTTCTCAGTTTGTGTGGTGTAGGAGTTATCAAGTAACGGAATCATGATCATAGTGTCATACTTTATTTTGATAAATCGGGCTTACTGTTGATCATGCAAATTTAACATTCTAAAATAAACTGAAAGGGGTGACTCTTTTGGGTAGAATCCTGTTTTGAAAATATAGCTACATAATGGGCATAACCTCAGTCATTTAGCAATGCGATTTACCTGGGGATGAACATGCATATTCATTTCAGTATGTACCAAGTGAGAATGGCCTGTGTGACCTTCTCATGTATTGCTATTATTTACTTGGTCATCTGTGGCACTTTGTAGTATTAATTTCCATAAAATAAGTTACAGCTTCAATCATGTTTTTGTTGTTTCCATCTTTCCTTTGGTAATTATCTTTGGTTTGAGGTTTCTATCCATCTTGTCTTATTACCAGGGCCCACATCTGTTGGCTCCAACAGGGAGTGACCTTAAAAAATATGGCCAGGAGGGCACTGTTTTTGCTGGATATCACTACGACCTGAACTTCCTAACAATCCATGGTAGAAGTAGATTTCCTGGTTTAAACATCTGGTTAAGAAATGGACAGAAAGTTGAAGTGAAGGTTCCAGTTGGGTGTCTTCTTATTCAGGCAGGGAAGCAGGTATTGAAACGCCTGAATTTTCCAACATTTCATCTAAAAAGAATCACTTCTGATGCATAGGAGCTCATTATTTTCTTCATCTTATGCTATCTGTTTCATTTAGGTAACAGGTAGTGTTAATTGTTAAAAATAGAGTCCTGGAATCTTAAGCTGATATCTAAATATGCTGTGATTTCATTCTCATGGCCCGGGATAATTTGACAGCTCTCCTAGATAAGTGTAATCTATTATTGACATCATTCATATGATCTTGTGTTTTACAATAAAATTTATTCTGAATGCAGATAGAGTGGTTAACTGCAGGGCACTGTGTAGCTGGCATGCACGAGGTTGTTGCCACAAAAAGAACACTCGAAGCGATTAAACTAGCACAAGAGCAAAAGCGTAGCCAGTGGAGAGTATCTTCAACGGTGAGTGAGGGGGGAAAAAAGAAATTCATCTTTTATCATGTAAGGCTGAATGAACTTGACTTTTCGCAAGTTTTTGTATTAACTTGTGACTTCTGCCTCTTATATGTAGCTGTTTTCACACATAGCTTCAGATGCAGTTCTGAAGCCGTTGGGACATTTTGCAGAGTCACCACTTGCAAGCCAATATCCTCCTACCTGTGCCGGAGAATATGTTGAACAAGAGCTTGCAGTAATCAATCTCAAAGGAAAGAAGTGAGGGCCTTTGTGACCAAAAATTGTAATAAGAAGTTACATAAATTATGCGTCCAGAAAGTGAGAAATTGTAGCTTTATTTTTCAGTCTCAAGAAAAAAGGAACAATGAAATTTTCAGTTGAGCTCTAATTAATTTCAATGAATTGGATGCGTATTTTCTCATATGCGTGTTCAGGGTTCTTTATTTCCTTACAGATGTCACAATACGTATGTGTATTTTTTCCCTTAATTTTTTATTTTCTTCTAGGTCGAGTCATCTTGGAATAGAAAGAAATCTGTAACGAAAGAAGTATTTCTGTACATATTGCAAACAGTAGACAATATAATTTCTTTGTGTTGGGGAAAAAGAAGTATCATGTAAAGCAGCTTTACTTGGACATGAATTTTCTGTTTTTAACTACTAAATGCACAATTTGAATTTATAAAAATAGAGAGAAAATAAAAATTAAGCCTCATAGACTTTCACGCTCTTATGTCATTCTCTTTTAAGTTCATAAAGGATCACAATCCACTTCACATTTGGTAGGATTCATGTAAGTTGAATCTTCTAACTGTCTGTTATCCAGAACCAATTCTATTGTTGATGGTTTCACTTGTGAAGACCAGACTGAAACCACAGTTAAAGTCTAAAGGCATGATTAGCATGATACTATGTTAGGACAGGCATGCTGAATGACATGAGTCCCATATTGCATATAAATGCAAAACCTTGTTCAGTGGTTTTGAGTAGTAACAAGCAGATCAAAGATGAAGGTGTTCAGGTCAGGGATTCAGGTTCTGCCATTGTTACTGGTTTTCTTGATCATAATGGCAGGTTTGGTTGCAGGAGGGCAAGGCACTCCTTGCACAAGAACCTTCTTCTCTGCACTGGTGCAGCTCATACCTTGTAGGGCAGCAGTTGTTCCTTTTAGTCCCATTCCACCAGGTGAAGCATGCTGCAATGCCATTAGAGCTCTGGGACAGCCATGTTTATGCTTACTTGCCAATGGCCCTCCAATATCTGGTATAGACCGCGACATAGCTTTGCAGCTCCCGGCGAAGTGCGCTGCTAACTTTGAACCATGTGATCTCTCTCTCTCTCTCTCTCTCTCTCTCTCACACACACACACACACACACACATTTCATTACACACACATATTCCCAGTACCAAAAAATCATTCTACTGTTATAAGGAATTATTTTCTTGTGACAAAATATAATAACGAAGATGTATTTCTACAATGTTATAAGTTAGGGCATTATTCAATCTGAATAACCTAGATTGTGTAGTTTTTGAAATGTTTCCAGAGATAGAGTAAGAAGGAGGAACAAGTGTCATGCATACTACATTATACTCACTTTAGAAGCACTTCCCCATTTTAATTTAAGAGTTAACCTCTGTTTTTCCAGACATCACGGTCAGATGTGCCCTTTTCCATTGCCTGAAACTAGATGTTTTTCTAAAGCAACTTTAAGGCCTTAGCATTTCTCACTCTCACTATGATTTTGAGGAATTTTTGTACCTAAGTTAACAAAGAAGATATGATATTAGAGTAAATTATTTAGTCATTGAAACATTATTCTTCTTTCATTTAATTTTCTAAAGTTTCTCGATTTAATCCTCTAAATTTTTCTTTCAATAAAAATGGTCTAAGATGACATTTTTGCCCCAAAAATAGGTGTTACTTGGGAAAACTCTGCGAGTAGAAGGGAGGGTCAAAATAAACAGCATTATGGTGGGGAAAGATTGTCGTTGGAAATTAATTGGGAGGAAAAATTTTTGAAAAGTTAAACTGAGATTTTATCTTCAAAAGACGAAATAAAAGTGGAAGCTTTGGATACCTCTTTTAGTATCAAATTTAACTATATTGAAGGAAAATGTTGAAAAGACACGTAGATAGAGGATGATGAATTGATGGTATATTAATGCCAAATATGTGTTGCTTGTGCAGGTGAAGTCATGAAGTGAAGTTGGAGCTTGAAAGAGTTAGAATGTTCCAGCTTATTAAAATAAATATTTTTATATATTAGGATTAATCTACGCCATATCCTTCTAAGTTCTTACAATAAAGTGTAATGTGGGTTATAATCTTTCTTGTCCTTCTTATTATTTTCCAGGTCGTGAATTATAGAAATGTTCCTTTTTGCGGCTGAAAATTCATTCCCCACTTATATGTTCTTCCACACAGCATCAATATATATTAATTCAGTTCGCTAATCATTTTCACCTATAATATTTTCTGGAAAAATAAGGCATAAAATAAAAGCTCTTAATTTCAAAAATAGTGACAAATTTAATCAAAAGGAACAACAAATATAAAATTATGCAGTTCAGACTAAAATCTAATCAATTCAGTGAGAATGAGTGAAATGTCCATTCTCTTTGGTTAAACACCATTTCCAAACGCTCACTTGTCATACAAATTCGGTAGAAGAGCTAAATGCAAAAAGTAACAGACTTTTTCTTTTCTTTTATATATAGAAAGACCTATAATTAAAAACAAACAGTGAAAAAAAGAAGTTTCAATTTTCTCAAAACCCAGAACTTGGCCAAGGAAAAAAAAATACTGAGAATCACGTGAATCTGTAAAACCTTGTTGTGTAGTAAAATTTATGTATATTTAGTTCTTTTCTCTAAAGCACATGATTATGTTAAAAAATTATGATATATAATGCTAAAAAGGAGGACATTGAAACATAAGGAAAGCATTTTAGGGCAAAGATCACACAAACCCTTGAGGTGTCCTTAACTTTCTTGCGGCTTCTACTCTGCCTTTCAAGCTCTGTCTGCTCACTTTTTCTGCACTTTAACTTTGCTGCACTAAGAAGAAAGAAATCATCCTATAAATGCACATGCAATACCTCAGCATTTGCTTTAATTCAATTAAATCCTCGTATCTATTCAGAAAAAGAGATTCTGATTTGGTTACATAGAAAATGAAATATGTATTTTTTATAATCATCATCTGATATATCTTAGTTATTGCTTTTTAACTAGTGGCACAATTGTTATTTTCATTTCTTTTCTTCGTATCAATCTCATTTTATTATTCTTTGCTCCAAATGGTTCATTAGGCCTTTAACTTTACTGTTATGACGTTAACAAAAAGTTGAGAATCATTATGCTTTGCTTTCTCATTTTGTTCAAATCTAAAGGTACATTTTGTTTATACAAAGAAACTTCTAACCATAAAAATCTGACACGGATTCTGACAAATACAACCGAGTTTGCAATGTCTTCTTGTGTTTAATGAGATAATTACCACAAACTTTTTAGGCAAACAGAATGGCCAATCGTTACGTAAGATCAATCTGAAGTTTCCCCACATTCATAACTTCGTTTTCCACCTTGAGATCATTGAAGAGGTAAAAGTTCAGCTCGCATCAAATTATTCTTTGCTTAACCAAAATCTTAATATTAAGCAGGCACTTCTAGTGTTGAAGAAGCTCACAGAGAGAATCATAATGTGTTGTTTCTTTTATCTCTTGCCTTCTTAAGTAGATCTTCCTTACTTGGGAATCAAATTTCTGGTTACTTGTAGGTAGCCACCTTAGCAGCAAGTTCTTGATCACATGAAGCTGGTAGTGGAGGTTATAGGTACTCACGATCTTATGCTTAGACATGGTGAAATATCAACAAGTTCATTTATAGAAGTAAAACCAGGCCAATCCTAAGGAATCTCAACCCCATTTGAAATCAAAACCTATCATTCCATTTCAATCCAACCAAACCTTTACCAGTGCCCCACTATTCGAGTCACAGAGAATACATACCTTACTAGCGGAACATTAACAGCTATTAGCAAAGCAGAAGAGGCAGGAAGAGGAAAAAGAAACCTGTCCTAGAGATATCCCAACAACTACACAATCATCAAGTCATCATGCAACCTCGGATTTCAATCATGAAACGACCACCTCGTAATCAAACAACAATGCACCAAGTTCATCGTCATCCTAATCTTCACCCTCAAGCCAATATTCCTGGCCGTGAAGATGAAGATTACAATCTGAAGGACACCAACCCACAACTGGGAGAGCGGTGGCCTAATGGAGGAAGAGGGTGGATGAGTGGTGTTGGAGGTGGGGAGAGGCACGCAAGCACATATGACCTCGTTGAGCAGATGTTCTATCTCTATGTCCGAGTCGTGAAGGGCAAAGATCTTCCTACAGGAGCTATCACTGGAAGCTGTGATCCTTATGTGGAAGTGAAGCTTGGGAACTATAAAGGAAGAACAAGGCACTTCGAGAAAAAGATGAACCCAGAATGGAACCAAGTCTTTGCTTTCTCTAAAGACCGGATACAATCATCTATTCTAGAGGTCTTTGTGAAAGATAAAGACATGATTGGCAGAGATGATTATCTAGGAAGGGTGGCTTTTGACCTCAATGAAGTCCCAACTAGAGTTCCACCAGACAGTCCACTAGCTCCTCAATGGTATAGGCTCGAGGATCGGCGAGGCGAAGGCAAGGTAAGGGGTGAAATCATGCTTGCTGTATGGATGGGAACTCAAGCTGATGAAGCATTTCCAGAAGCTTGGCATTCTGATGCAGCTTTTGTGTCTGGAGAAGGTGTTTTCAATATTAGATCAAAGGTTTATGTGTCACCAAAACTATGGTATCTGAGGGTCAATGTCGTCGAAGCTCAAGACGTGATACCCAGTGACAGAAATCGCCTGCCAGAGGTGTTTGTCAAAGCTCAGGTGGGAAGCCAAGTGCTAAAAACAAAGATATGCCTAACTAGAACAACCAATCCACTTTGGAATGAAGATTTGATTTTTGTGGTAGCTGAACCATTTGAGGAGCAACTAATAATCACTGTGGAGGATCGTGTTCATCCTTCGAGAGATGAGGTGCTTGGGAAGATGAACTTGCCATTGACCATCTTTGAGAAGCGGCTAGACCACAGACCAGTTCATTCTCGCTGGTTCAATCTGGAGAAGTTTGGTTTTGGATCACTAGAAGGTGATAGGAGGATGGAGCTGAAGTTTGCAAGTAGGATTCACTTAAGAGTTTGTCTTGAAGGTGGATACCACGTGCTTGATGAATCAACTATGTACATTAGTGATCAAAGACCAACATCAAGACAGCTATGGAAGCAGCCCATTGGGATACTTGAAGTGGGAATTTTAGGGGCACAAGGGCTTCTCCCGATGAAGATGAAGGATGGTCGAGGAAGCACAGATGCATACTGTGTTGCAAAATATGGCCAGAAATGGGTCAGAACCAGAACCATCCTTGACACTTTTAGTCCCAAATGGAATGAACAATACACTTGGGAGGTCTATGATCCTTGCACTGTGCTCACACTTGGGGTTTTTGACAATTGCCATTTAGGTGGCACCATTGAAAAAGGCGGACGAGATTCACGAATTGGGAAAGTCAGAATTCGGCTTTCAACTCTGGAGGCTCGTAGAATCTACACTCATGCGTACCCTCTTCTTGTTCTGCACCCACATGGAGTCAAGAAGATGGGAGAGCTTCAACTAGCAGTAAGGTTCACTACCCTCTCACTGGCCAACATGATTCACATCTATGGCCATCCCTTGCTTCCCAAAATGCATTACTTACACCCTTTCACAGTGAACCAAATAGAGAATTTAAGATACCAAGCCATGAACATAGTTGCCATGAGACTTGGCCGAGCTGAACCATCTCTGAGAAAAGAGGTGGTAGAGTACATGCTGGATGTTGATTCTCACATGTGGAGTATGAGAAGAAGCAAAGCTAATTTCTTCCGCATAATGTCTCTCTTTTCTGGTATGCTCTCAATGGGAAGATGGTTTACTGATGTTTGCCACTGGAAGAACCCCATCACAACAATCCTAGTTCACATCCTTTTTCTGATACTGATATGGAACCCAGAGTTGATCCTCCCAACTCTCTTTCTCTACATGTTCTTGATCGGTCTCTGGAACTACAGGTTCAGGCCAAGACACCCACCTCACATGGACACAAAGATCTCCTGGGCAGAATCTGTAAATCCAGATGAACTTGATGAAGAGTTCGACACTTTTCCAACTTCCAGGTCACTTGATGTGGTGAGAATGAGGTATGATAGGCTTAGAAGTGTTGCCGGGAGGATTCAAACAGTGGTTGGAGACATAGCTACACAAGGTGAGAGGTTTCAATCTCTGTTAAGTTGGAGGGATCCAAGAGCGACTAGTCTCTTTGTGGTGTTCAGCTTTGGTGCAGCATTAGTTCTGTATGCTACTCCTTTCAGAGCGGTGGCTTTGGTCACTGGTTTGCATTGCTTGCGCCATCCAAGGTTTAGGAGTAAGATGCCTTCCGTGCCAAGCAATTTCTTCAAGAGGCTCCCAGCTAGAACTGATACTTTAATCTAACTCAAATGTACTTTGTTTTATTTCCTTTGTACTATAAATGATTACCAAGACAGAGTAGTGAGTTCTGTAATTAAAGTGAACTATTGCCAAGATAATATGAGCAAATAGCTGATATCTCAGTCATAGTTTACCCCATTATGTGTATTTGTTGCACTCTATGGTTCTTTTTTTTTTTTTTTATGAGAATCTTTTTATTGGCGTAGTGTAGGTAGTTGTTGGGCATTTGCTAGTAAATCTCAGAATTTAGTTATTTTTGGATACTTAAAAATTTGAAAACAAAAGGTAGCCCAAGCTTTTTTCCTTGGCACTTCCAAGGTTTGGGCCTAGAAATCCTTTTATATTTAAAAAAGCAATCCTATTTTTAAATTTAAAGCTTAACCTTTAAAAACAGACTTATACTTTCACGATTGCGGAGATTTTGAGAATTATTCATGGACTTCATCTATGTTGAAAAAGAAGATATCTTAATATCACACTTTTCACTGATTCCATAGAGGCTATCAACCTGATTGCTAGAGAATGTAATATCAATCATCCTTTTAGAGATGCCATCAAGAATGCCAGACTTTTGATCAACAGGAATTGGGATGTGATAATTAGTTATACTTTGAGACAGAATATTGTTATTGCAAATTACTTAGCTAAAATTGCACATAACATGGTTATTTTTGTATTTTTGATCAACCTCCACCATTAAATTCGGAGGTGGAGATTGATGGAGAAAACTGAATGCTTGCTTTTTGTTACTTTTGTTATTGTTTAGTTGATTTACAGTAATTATTCCAGGGGGAAAAAAAAAACAGACTTGTACCGGTAGGCTAACAGGCCCGACCCGTATTTCCAACTAAACTCTAATTCCAATTTCATTTGATGTTTAAGGGGGAAAAACACTGTAGAGAAAGGCAGGGACACAAGATTAGCTTGACAAGTGAATTTGATGTGTTGTTTCGACTTTGATTCCATTCCAACGAGAAAGAAGCAATCTAGGAAAGGCTTTAGCAAACATCTCAAATAAACTCGCAATTAAGGATGAAGCAATGCGAACCAAAGCAAAAGTGGGATTTCAAGAGCAGAGCAAAGCGAACAAAATTTTCAAGTTTTTCAGAATGAAGCCATTGTTCAGTCACAACACAAAACCACCTTCCTTCGGATTCGGGACTTTACTATGTTTAATTGAAGGGACCATTAGGGAGAAGGACCTAAAAAAATTAATATTTATTAGGAAGGATCTTAAAAACTATAATTATTTACATTGAATAAACATTAAAACAAAAATATAATACTACTAGATTACCCTTAATTAACTAAATTCTTACATATTTTTATTTACACTTCCATTGAATATTTTTTTTATAACTCCTTATAAAAAATTTCACTTACTATTTTTTTTTATTTACCCTTAGTTACACTTCTATAATCTTTCTCTCATAATTATTTGCAACAAAAATTTATTGAAATCAAATTAAAATTATTTATTGTTAATCCAAAATATTTTATATACCTATACACATGATAAAATGAAATTATTCATCTACATAAATCATACTAACAATAGTTAATTTTTATTTTTCTTTGGGTTTCAATTGAAATTCCCTTTTTTCCAAAATTGTTTTACTGTGTATACATATTTTATAAACATATGTAAATTTAAATAAACATATTTTAATGTAAAATACTATAAATTGATTTTTTGAGCTGAAATATAAATTGATGTTTAGAGTATTTCAATTATTATTTTTGTTTAAAGTATGATGCTTGGATGCTTTGATAATTAAATTGCCTAATTTATTTGCATAAAATATATATTTAGGTATATAAGATATTTTGGATTAATAATAAATAATTTTGATTTTATTTCAATAAATTTTGTTGCAAATAATTAAAAGAAAAGATTATAAAGAATTTTGGTAAAAATTAAGGAGATTATGAAAAAAAAAAAAAAACAATTTTCAGCAGAAAAATTTGCATTTTGCAAATCCAACTGGAATAATATTTTAACTCATTGTATCAATGCAAAGAATGCTTATTTACTTCTCTAATTACCATAAATATATCAGAGAGAATTTTCACTCCACCTAAACTGATTTATCATTTCCCATCTCATTGCTATACAGTGATTTGTGATTATAATCCAAATGGGAGAAAAAATAGCAAACCAAACACGCACTCATCTTTTTGATGAAAAATAATCACATCGCTTCTTTTATGCGACGGCTAGCGAACTTCGTTTAGAACAGGGTCTTGTCTTAAATTGCCAAAAAACAAAAATGGAAAACAGCTCATTTAGAACGATGACCAAAAATGGATCAAAATAAGCTCTCTTTTAGACGTCTCAGAAAACCCAAAATTGTTATGATATCCATACTAATCAGACGTATAGAATTGAAGAAAACAAATCCTTCGACTACTATAAAAAGAATCAAATTTTTCAGTCGTCCCACATCGAAGAATGGCCGAAGAGTAAAGCAAATCGGACCTAGCTCAACAAAAACAGAACAACAAAAATTAAGTCTAAGACTCCGATTAGAAGACAAGCTCATGAGGCTTCATGCCTGCCTTCAGAGAAAACCTTGCACCCAAATAAGCCTTCAAGTCTGGAACGCTCTCTATGGCTTTTATCAATGCTGCATCCACTACTTTCTGGTCATCTTTTTTCTCCTGTGGGATCACATTTTTCTCCTACAATGGTAAAGGGAAATAGATATAAGAACACAGACAATTGAAATCACAGAGAGTAAAATTGTACAGAGAAAGCAAGATTGTCAACAGACCTCCTTCTCTGCCTCAAAGAACTCTCCCTCTCCTTTTTTCTTCTTCTTCTCGGCTTGCTTGGTGAAGTATTTGTCATCAAACTTTTCCACGTCAACACCAGAGATATCTACCTTGGTGGACGTCCCAATTACATAAGACTGGCTTACACGCCTCAAAGGAACTCCATTTATCTTGAATGGACCTGACATGTCAAGGAAGAGACACGAGAAAACAAATTAGTTGACTTTGAGGGCAGGGCAAACATAAAATAGAAAAACGAACAATTAGCTAGAAGTAATTACAATTAGAACTGCTACTTTGCACCGGGAAAAAAAAAGGAAATAGAACTGCTGCACACTATATATATTCAAAAACGTGCCAAGAAGGCAGCGTTGAGTCTGAGATTGACACACGTACAGCTTAAGGAAATAATATATCACAATTAAAACGAGAAGACATAATAGACAAAAACACAACCAAATTGTGATCAGAACGTGTGAAGTATCATCCACCAACAAAATCATTAAACTGAAGGAAAACATTACTTACCGGTAACAAGAAGCAATCCAGAAGGAAGTTGCTTCAGAAACACTACTCTCTTTCCCATGAATCTCCCAGCAAGAAGTATCAATACTGTCCCGGGAGTAATGCTGGCCCTAAAGACAGAAACAGCAAATATAAAATCATTTCACCGGAAATGTTTATTAAAAAACGCGCAATTTACAGTCCGATATAAAGAAGGACCGTCTCTAGCCACAACTGACTTCAGATCCAAAATTAAATTCAAATTGAGATTGCCCAACTACGCTCTACATCATCGAATCAAAAAAGAAAACTCATAAATTAAAAGCGCTCCAGCATAGATAACAAACCGACTGTACCAAATCAGATCAAACAACAAAACGAAATCCCACAAACAAAACCAGTTTAGCCTCCATACAAAAAACAACAATGCACATCGAAAGAAAAATTAAGAGTTGAACAGCAATAGGCACCTAAGTTTAGTAGGTTTCGGTTTGTGCTTATTGACAAGGGGCTTCTTGACATCGTCGGCAGGGTAAAATTTAGGAGGCTTCTCCGCAGGAGCTTCGGGCTTGGGTTTGGGATCGTGACGAGGAAAAACGCCGCCGTGCTTAGCCTTGATGGCCCACAGACCTCTCTTGTGGTACATTTTCGACCTCGAAAACTTTCCAACCCCCCTTATCAATTCAGGATTTCTGGTGACCCTGGCAGTTTTCGGCGCCATTGTTTTCTTCTTCCTAGTGCTGCTAAGCCCTAATCTTTCAGCGCAAGGAGGAAAAGGAAGCTGGTTATTATTTATAATGTCAGTAAATTTATCGGACCCGCTTAATGCCAATGTGCCCTGTGAAATACTCCTCCGATCCTTAATATAGAACCCAATTCTTGAGTTAATTTTAGTCTTAAATGTAAGACCCATTTCTTATATTTATCAATTTTCTCTAAATTACCCCCATGGATACTCCCTCAACCATAATCAAATAGAAGAGGGAGAGGGGGTATTAAGAAAGATGATCATGGTATTTTAGGAAAAATGTGTCACTTTTCTTATAATTAACTAACTTACCTAACTTCCTTAATCTAATCAAATTAATTAAATGGCTCTTATATTAAGGACCGGAGGAGTATTACTTATTGTAATTTAATTTTAGTCACTGTCGATTTTTTTTATTTGGCCTGTAATCAGTTTTTTTTTTAGGGATTCGAACTCATAACTTTATAAATTATGAGTCGATTCGTTACTAACTAGACCAACTCTTGTTGGTGTCTGTGATCAGTATTGAATCGTGTATGTATGGCTCATTTATCAAACTTTGCATAACCAACCATGCTTGACAGCCAAAAAATAAAAAAGGAACATGTAAAGTAAAAAACCGTACTTATATTATTAGTTCAAAAAATGTACAGTTTATTATAAGTTGCATTATTTACATTCACTCAAACTCATTTAAAGAAATTGGTAAAAAAAAAAAAGCCCGTTTGAAACATCAGCAATTTTTGATTTAGTAAATTTGTAAATTAATCATATATTTCGACACCAGGTAAATAAATGATTTATCAGAATTTTTCTAATCAATCTGCCTCTGGATCAATTCTTAAGAGAGGGCCAAGTTACTTTGATTTTTTATGTTTTTGCAAAACTTCTTTTAACTTCTATTTGATTAACATTAAACTTGGCCCAACCTTAGCTCAGTTGGTATTGCCATACATAGTCCTCTGATTGAGGAGGTTGGCGGATCGAATTTCTTAATTTCATGTAAGTCAGGGAGTGTTTGAAATCAGCAACAAATATTTTGAGAAAGTGTTTTTATATAAATTGAGATAAAATTTCTCTCATATACTCACTTCATATATCATAAAATTACTTTTGAACCATAATTTGATTTTAACCCAAATATTCCAAAAAGTGTACGTGTGTTGTGTTTGGGTGTATGATAGCATGTAGTTATGATGCTAAACAATCACTTCTTAGTATGGGTGCTCATGAGGCCCAGATACATGTTATGCTCATCCAAATCTGCAGAAAAAATACTCAGCTTGGCCTAATAAAAAAAGGCCTAAACAAAAATGGGTATTTTTAGGTCGGGTTTATCACGGGTAGGACAAAGTAGCAAGCAAGGTATACTCTCCTACCTGAAAAAATATATAATTATATATATTATAATATTATTTTTCAATCACTATTCCTTTTTTATTTTGCCCGGAAAAATTGTTCTTTTTTGTTGCTTACACTCTTTCATAATATCAAATTTTTGTTTATTTATTTGTCTATGACTGCAATGAATTGATATCTCATGACTACAATGAATTGATATCTCTTGTTTTTTTCAAATAATTATGAGAGTGTATTATTCGACCATTACTCATCAATTTAACCAAATTGATTGAACCTTGAGACCAGGCAATTGGGGTTACAAATCTCAAATTGTGGGTAAGGATAATCACAATTGAATTTTTGTTATTTTCTCACAAAAGCGTTAGGAGTTAATAGCAAAGATAGTTTTAATTCACAATTTTAATAATTTATTTTCATATTTTATATTCATACACATAAGGTAATTTTTAAGTATATATTTTTAAATGCAATGTAATCTATATATCATAGTTTATTTGGCCAATATAAGTAGATTTATCGTAAACACACCAATAACCTCAATATATAGGCAACAAACATTTAAACCGTGCCAATTTTAGCTTACATTATTTTTTATATTTTAAGATTGAAAATGTAGGCTTATTTTGAAATATTTTAAATTATGAAATTATAAAATACACTTGAAATTCACAATAATACTTATAAAATATAATTAGATTTTCTCTTACAAAAAAAAAATAATTAGATTTTTTTACATATAATATGAGTAGAATGTTACTACTTGGATAGAAAAGCTCATCCTGCCTTGCTCGGCCAACCCTTGCCCTGCCCAAAGTGGTTAGACAGTGGGCACGGATGCATGGTTATGTCCTGCCCAGTCCTGCTTATGAACACCTCTTTTTTTTTTTGTGTATCTTTGAGCAATAAAAATTTTAATAGGGAGACTTTTTATTTTTTAGTGATTTTGAAAATTAAAATACCGTAAGTACAACAAAGAAAATTAGAAAAGAAAACTAGAACTTGTTTATTGTCTAACACCATATTCAACTTATACATTTATAATTTTCTAAAAGAAAAGACTTGGATTTAGTTTATTCAATTCAAATTTCTTAGATTTAAAACAAATCTAACCTGTGGACAAAAAAAAAAGAGCGCAATTGACTAAAATGGCCTCAAAATAAAAATACAAAAGAACCAAAAACATCAAAATAATCAAACCAAACAGAGCAAATTCCATGGCAAAAAAAAAAAGAGCAAATTCAATTTGGTTCAATTTGTTTGTGGATTTTTAGTCGGATTATGCACATAATCTTTTTTTTTTGCCAACAATTTTGCATATAAAAAGTGTTTAGATAGAAACTAAATCATAATTTTAAAAGTAATTTTATAGTATACAAAATAAATAACCAAGTGTATGAGGGAAGTTTGACTCAATTTGATAATTTGCATGAAAAAACATTTTTTGACATATACCAAACACCTCCATAATCTAATAGCTTGTTTAGTGACATGTCTATTGTGTGTGAATATATTTATCAACATAGAAGTTATATAAATCACATAATAGTTTACTTCTTTTTTATAAATAATATGGCTGATTTAAAAATCTAAATCTAATAAGAATTTTTAAAACGTGTCTAGTTGAGAAATTTAAAAAAAAAAAAATGTCGCCAAATTTTGTTATCTCCCTGCCAACTCCAGGGTACTTTCCACGAAGAAGATAACGAGATAAATCCACCTCCAGTTCTCTTCTGTTGCTTCAAAAGCCTCTCGCTTCTTCGTCATCCCTTTCCACTCTTCAATCAAAGCAATGGCTTTATCCTCTTCCCTTTTCTCACCACCCCATCTTCTTTCCAATCACACTACAAAATCCATTTCAACTTCTTCAAGATTCTCTAGTCACCTTCTGAAATCGGTCTATTCACAAACCTTTGTCAAATCGACGCCTTCTCTGGTAGTTACAACTCATAGACACTTTCGGACACCCTTTGCTGTTGCAGAAGAAACCGTGGTCACTTCACCGGACCCGAAATCGGATGCCGCAAGGAAGCTCTATATTGGGAACATTCCACGCAATATTGATAACAATGAGCTTACCCGGATAGTTGAAGAGCATGGTTCTGTTGAGAGAGCAGAGGTAGTTGAATTTTTAACTTCTTTGTCTTTGCATATCCAATTTTGCCGCTGAATTGTGATTTGGAGTTTGGTTTAATGAGGAGAATGCATATGGGTTTTGGGCTGTTTAAATGGGTTTGGAAAACGGTGGTCTTTAAAAGGAATTTTGGGTGAATTGAAGACTGAAGTAGATATGATCTGTATGTGGTGTGTCTCTACTTGTGTAGAAGTTGAGGCACCTATTAAAATGAAATGAAATAGAATGTAAAATAGAACTGTATAAGTTATTTCGTTGATAAAAATGACATTTGTTCCTCTTTCCTTGGTTATTTTCACGTTATTAGTCCGAAGATTTTTCAGAAGTCTGATTGCGTGAGCTGCTGGGCATACATCTGACTTCCTAATTTGACAACAGTGGTTTTTAAAACATGAGGCGTGTTCACTGTTTAATATACAGATTGTTGTTGAGAATTGGTATCTTATCATGATATTAACAAACATGCTGGACTTGCAGTGATATTAGGATTTGGAAAAAGTGCCACAGGGTACAATCTCACAAGCATCATGAGAAAACAGCTAGAAAATGGTTTCTTCCCGTTAGCTGTCTGTTGCCTTCTTCATCTTGTAAACTGCATGTTTCTAGATCCTTATGGAATCAGCCACGCCTTGGGGCACCTTTTATAAATCATACCAGAAACTGTTTAAGAATTGCAGGATAAAAAAGGGCATGTGACTTCTAAGCAGGGTGATCTTTCACCCATGACCAATAACATACAGCTCTACACTGGTATTATGATACTACTAGTCTGTGAGGCATCATTAATAACACTGTACTTTCCAAGGGGCAATCCAGAGTGTAAACTGGAATGACATAGAAACAAATATAGAATGAAATAAATGACTTTGTGGATGAGAAATATCCTTTGTATCCTTCGATGAAAATTGTTGTGTAAAGGACAACGACTTTTGATTAATGGTAATATGAGTACGGTAGACCTTACATATTTCCTTCTTTTTTTTTTGTCCAATGGAAAGGATTTGTCTTTTCCGTGGTGCGATCAAACGAGGCCTAGTTTTTTTGGTCAGAAGTGTGATTAGAATATGACTGTAAACCTAAATGCAACAACTTACTGCTTTCTCTACAGTTTTTCCCCTTGGTAATGGTTGAAATTTTCCTCCTTTATTAACAAACTTGTGTGAGGCTTCATGTGCGATAATGTAAGGCTGAATCATTACTCTTACAAGTGCAGATATAAATATGAGTGCTATGAATATGGGGCTTTTTATTTATAACGTGCCAATGGATTAATTATTTGTATCCTTGCAAAATGTATAGAATCTGCATTTATAACATGCTATTAACCTTTTATTTTTATGGTACTCTGATCAATAGGTTATGTATGACAAATACTCTGGAAGGAGTCGTCGCTTTGCATTCGTTACAATGAAGACGGTTGAGGATGCGAATGCAGTAATTGAGAAGCTAAATGGCACTGTAATTGACCTTCATATTGATGGCACTTATAAAATTAGATCAAACGATTCCGAACAATCATTTTACGATCGAGTACTCACATACTTCATGTTTTGGTGGTAGGAAATCGGAGGACGTGAAATCAAAGTAAATATAACAGAAAAACCTTTGCAAACAGTTGATCTATCTATTCTCCAGGCAGAGGAATCTGAATTTGTCGACAGTCCCCACAAAGTATATGTAGGAAATCTTGCAAAAACAGTAACAACAGATTTACTGAAGGACTTCTTTTCTTCGAATGGAAATGTTCTTAGTGCCAAGGTTTCACGTGTTCCTGGGACCTCAAAATCCAGTGGTTTTGGTTTTGTCTCATTTTCTTCAGCTGAGGATGTTGAAGCTGCTATCTCATCTTTCAACAATTCTGTAAGTTGTTCATTTGCAAGTTTGCAACTCCATATGTGCCGAAAAAGTGAAACCATAGATTATATACACAGAATGGAGTCCTCCTCCTTTTCTTGCTTCCTGTGATGGAAAATGTTTACAAATTTACTATGATAGTTTTTAACCAGATATGTGTGGAAGAAAATATCACACCTGGTCTATAAATTTCATCGAACTTGATTTTATATGTAGTTCATAAATTTATCTGAACTATGAATTTGGACACACCTATTTCCAGGCGTGTTAGCATATCATTACATGCTTCTGGTATCAGTAGGGGCACACAATTGTCCATGTGAGATAAAACAAAACTTGTGTTTTTGGGTTGGACAGACGCTGAACACTGCTTCATTCTGCATGTTCTGACTCTTTTCCTCACATTGTTCAACGGGAAAATTACACCTGAGGACCCAAATGTAAAATAATTAGATTAAAGACTTTAAAAATCTTAACTATTTTCATAAATTAGGTTTTAAGGAAATCGCTACTAATAGTGTGTTTAGGTAACAGTAATTAGGTTTTAAGGAAATCGCTACTAATAGTGTGTTTAGGTAACAGTTTCTGAAGCAATATTTGTGAAGCAGCAACACCTCTTTTAATGATTCTGCAAAGACACCTTAAGTTTTTGGGAAGTTGTTATTAAAATGTTATTTACGACTGTGACTTTCTTAAAATATTGTACACTTGGTAGTGAGTCCCTTAAAAACCTGATAATAGACTAGATTTTGGGAAATAATTTGGCTGCTGACTCTGATAAGGATGACGGGAACTTCTTAGTAGTTAGTTGGCTTTCTGAGTTACCTGTTGACTCTGATGAGGACACTAACGTGTCTGAAATCCTGTTGACTGCAGCTGTTAGAAGGGCAGCGAATTCGAGTGAACAAGGCATAAACATTCACAAGCGGTAACCTGGAAGCTTGCTTGACTTCATATCCTCTAGTTGGAACCAGTAAAGGCTTTGTATGAAATAGAAGCCATCATACATCAGTCCCATTTCTTGTCTAGCTTAAACCCCATCCTTTTCAGGTGTCAAGTTCCTCCAAAGAGGGAAATAAGGGAGAGTTGAATGCTTCTGTCGGAAGAAATTCTGTAGTTCAGGTTTTGGGGAGCTCACTAATTGCTTGTAATTGTGTTGCTTCTTTTCATCCGTACTGTGTAATATGGCAGGTCCTGTTGAGTTATGAATGTATTTAGTTCCTCTATTTGACTTGAACAAATATTGTAATTGGCTTGAACTTGACCCCTTGACTGACGTGCAAGTTTTGGAATCTGTATTTTGTGTGAGCTTCTGAGATGGAGTTTTATGCAATATTTGATGTGATTTTTACTTGTATTGCTGAAATGGGATGAGACTCACAGCAGGTCGAAGTTTGATGCTTTAATTGACAATATTTTTTTAATACAAAATGAAATCTCAGTTCAGATCTTGCAATGGAGAAGCATAACAGTGAGACAAAAGAAACAAGATATGGGATCATGGGATCAAGAAAACTTAAAAAAGATATGGAATTAAAAATAATTGAAGAAGAAAGCTTCATTGTTCCAGAGCCGATTGAAGAAAGGGGAGCAGAAGAGATGAAGAGTTCAAATGGTAAAAGCCAAATCCATATGTGTGAATGAGCAACCGTTTATTTTCACAAAGTGAAAAATGTGGCAAAAATAGTTTTTTTTTTTCATTTTGAATAAAAACATCTAATAAAACGCTCTATACAAAAAGTAGTCCTAACCGTCTGGTATTTAAATTGGCCAGAAAAAGTGTTTGGTATTTACTGTGATGTTTCATATTTAATTTATCTATTAATTTTATAATTGAAAATAAAATATTCAGCAAGAATAAAACATTCCAAAATTATATGCATGGGCGACGATTTTAAAACCGGAGATTTTGGAATTATTTGTTTACAGAGTTTTATTAATTGTAATTATTTCTTCAGAGATCACTTCACAATATTTTAGGACTTAGCATGGAATTGCCGGAGTGCCTTTAGGACTCAATATTTAATATTTATTGTGTATATAATTGTGTCTTATACCAATCAATCAATCAATCATTATATTCTTAAAAACTTGTAATACCCTATTCATTTGAAAATGGGTTAGATATGACATTATTGAATCTGAATATATTCAATTAATGATATTTGAATAACATATTAATTCAAATTTGAATATACTGAATTAAATAAGAAACATTATAAATAAATGAAATTCAATTAGAGGTTTAAATGAAGAAATTAATAATTAAATTTAAATTTGAATAATATCTTAATTAGAATTTGAATATATTATGTTAAATATAGAGTATCATAATTAAATAGTATGTTAATTGGAGCTTTAAATGAAGAATAAATAAATAATTTTAAATTTTCATCGATTCTTCCTAAATTTCGCATCTCTAATTTAAGTTCTATTTGAATGAATAAAAAAATCATACTCCTATAAAAAGTAGATCTTGAGCTATAATAGATAATGTAATTTATTATAATTTTAAATCTAATCAAATATGCTAATCCGTGTATCGCAGGGAGAAATTTCTATCATTATATTCTTAAAAACTTGTAATACCCGCTTCATTTGAAAATGGGTCAGATATGACATTATTGAATCTGAATATATTCAATTAATGATATTTGAATAACACATTAATTCAAATTTGAATATACTGAATTAAATAAGAAATGTTATAAATAAATGAAATTCAATTAGAGGTTTAAATGAAGAAATTAATAATTAAATTTAAATTTGAATAATACCTTAATTAGAATTTGAATATATTGCATTAAATATAGAGTATCATAATCAAATAGTATATTAATTGGAGTTTTAAATGAAGAATAAATAAATAATTTTAAATTTTCATCGATTCTTCCTAAATTTCGTATCTCTAATTCAAGTTCTATTTAAATGAATAAAAAAATCATACTTCTATAAAAAGTAGATCTTGAGTTATAATAGATAATGTAATTTATTATAATTTTAAATCTAATCAAACATGCTAATCCGTGTATCGCAGGGAGAAATTTCTAGTTTTTACTATATTTTGTTTTCCACAAAATTATATATGATTATATCATTTGATTTTCACTTTCTTTTTGTCCCTAAATATAAGTCTTAATGCAAATTTTAAGCATAATTAATTCTCTTTTGAAAAAATACCCCTTATAGAAAATATAAATTTCCTGTCCACCCTTAAATTTTTACAAGTAGGTACATTATTTTCCATGTCATTAAATGGGACTAAATATAAAGGAAAAAAAATTAACCTTTACATAATTCATAGATTTTTTTTTGGTCAAACATAATACATAGATTTTAATACTTCATTAGTTCGTGTGCTTTTCAATATTAAAACTTATATTTAAAGGTGGAGGAAGTACATATCAATAACTATAAACAGAAAAGAAAGAGATGTCACTTGTTGGTATGAGAAACACTCCCCGAGTTTCCTTCTATTCATATTTGGCATAACATTAAATTACGAAATAATTTTGTAAAAATAAAAAAAATAAAATAATATTGTACTCCTATGATTTATAAATACTAAATATTAATCTTGCTCTTAATGTTAGTAAAAATAAAAATAAAATAAATATGATAAATTTCGTCTTTTGGGCAATATGAATTTCAAACCGGGCCTCGCTCTAACTTCCTCTCATCCACATAATCCAGTCCAAACATTAATTTCAGAACCATAAATTCCAGCGAAGAAAATGGCAGTTTTGTAAATTTCGGAGCAAACGAGGTGGTCCTTTAATGATTAATGAATACGTGCGGGACGTGACCAGGCCATATCTGGCTTCCTCAGTACTCTATTGGCGCCATTTTCTAATTTCCCGCGCCAAAAATGAAAAATCTCATTTTTATGAACCTTCAATATCTGCGGACTAACAAAGCCCTCACGCTCTAGCTCGTCTACTCTCTCCGGTCACCTCTCTTCCTCGCACCACCCCACAAATTTCATCAAAGGTGAGATTTTTCTGATTTTTTATTTTCCTGTGTTTCTAGGTACGATTTTTTCTGTTGTGATTTTTTTCTTTGCTGCTATGTTTTATCGGTCGCTCTCCAACTAGCTTCTCCCGTTTGTTCTTCTATTTGTGGGTTTTCCTTTTTTTTCATGCTAAACAGCAAAAGAAAACTGCAGTTATAACGAAATTGCTGGAAGGAATATTAATGTGCAAATTTTTAACTTTTAGGGGGCCTAACAGTGAAGTTGTCAATAATTGTGAATCCTCCGTTCAAGGTTCTTTCTGCATCTGTTTCTCGGTGTCTCAGGCCGTCGTGATCGAAGAGAAGCATGTTTTATTCGCATACGTTTCTTGCACGAAAGGGGCCATTGGCCACAGTGTGGATTGCTGCGCATTTGCAGCACAGGCTTCGGAAGTCTCATTACACTTCAACTGATATACCCTCCACTGTCAGTAAGTGAAATCATCTTCCTTTTTCTGAAAAGCATGTTTCTTTTGTGAATTTTCTGGCATACAGGTTAAAATTATATTCCATTATGGATAAAGTTTCCATCTTTCATTTGGGTTTTGGAAGTGCGGTTTTTGCTTTAGTTTATCTTCCAATTTGGCTATTTTCCCCATCCTTCTTGATTGGAGATGCGACTCTTGATAATCTTCGTCAATTCTTTCTTTTATGAATAAAACTTTCCGAGTTCTATTTGAATTTCGGCTGTAGGGTTTCTATCTGAATTACTCTTTCAATTTAGATTGTTTTCTTCTCTCCTGATGATGAGTTTTGGGCATTTCTTGATAATTTACTACTTTTTGCTGGGATAACGTGAGGTAATGGGTTATAATTTGCTTCCTTTCGTAGTCATTTGGATTTTTAGTCATTGTGTGAATGATGCTGTGGGCACATGGATGATGTTTGGAGGCAAGGGGAGGGACTTTAAGATCATCCAAAATACCCCTGTTCTTGTTTGGAAGCTCTTTTTTTTTTTTTTTTAACAAAACTGAGGTGAATTTCCCTTCCTTTCAAATCCTTCCAGCCAAACGCACCTAAGACAATGTGAAAAGAATGTTGTGTCGCCCTGCCCTGATGCTATGCCAACTATTATTTTGTCATCTCTTTGTTCAACACTTAATTTGATTGAAATAGGTTTTCCCTTTATTGTTCTATTTTCATCTTAGGTTTCTTAACAGAGTCATTCTCCCATGGTCGTAGACGTAGTACACTTTGTAGATATTTCTTGTTTTTTCTGTTCTTGATTGAAGCTCAAAAGAAATTGTAGTACAAATAAAAGCACGGAAATCATCAACACACTAAGGTCCTTAGGCAATGCGACCGCCTGAAAATACTAAGTTTGACTCCCAATTATAAGCAAGTAGAAAGTTCTGCCTTGTATTGCTGGGGAAAACATGGTTTTTTTGAAAATGCAAGCATAATGTCACATAGCTCCTGATCCAATAGCTAAATAGAACACCTCTATGAGGCTTTGACTTCTTTACACCTTATTTCCCCATATCTATCTAATAGTAATTGCTCTAACTTCGCGGGCCATATCTTTGCCATGCTATCACTTTGTGCTCTTCAAGCTTGTTCTGTTCTTCTAATTAACAAGTTTGTGTGTTGATATTGCTTGTGTTTCTTTTATCCATGGGACAGTAAAACGCGAGTTTGATACCGAGGAAGCTGAAAGTGATTTTTTAACCTAATCACTGGACTGTTATTTCGGTTCCTAATCCATTTTTCATTTAGAGGTACTTAAAAAAATATATTTAATAGGAATTGTTAATTTTGTTTGTACTTGTACATCATGTGTGATATCAATGATATATAAGTCAGTGAATATTAAAATTGTGACATTGGCTTTCACGAGTCTCGTGTTTCTTGGATTGAAATAATATGTACTTTTTGATTCAGAATCTGTGTCATGGTCCTGGTCCTGAATTTGACTGAATATTCCTTTTTCTTGTATGTCTCTTTTAGGACGTATTATGGAACCTGAAGTTCCCATTGCCTTGAGAATGTCAGGCCATCTTCTTTTAGGCGTTGTTCGGATATATTCAAAGAAAGTTGATTATCTTTTTCAAGACTGTAATGCTGTTTTGACTGGTCTCAGCAAGGCATTTGCTTCTATTCAACTTACTTTACCAGAGGATGCACGGAAGGCACCATTTCATTCAATCACACTGCCAGAGACATTTGATCTTGATGCTGTGATCTTGGATGGAGTAGATGACGAGTATGGTTTTGTTCAGTTTCTTCCAATTTATTTGTACTTCTAAAATCATTACATGACTCATGGATTTCTGTCCCAGGGTGGAGGATATCCACATGAGGAGTCGAGAAGATATCACTCTAACAGGTCACAGAAATGGATGGATATTTTATTCATCTTTATTTTAATAGTGGTACGCTTAAGTATTGATCTCTTGTCTATAATGCTATTTACTGTGCAGATCAAATTCCTGGTAGTATGGATTATTACATAGCAATCACTTTTGATGAGGTTCGCCCTTATTATTTCCTTAATTGTTTGTTATTTTGGATTATGAGATTTTGCGTTGCAACTCTATTTCATCTCCTGAATTTTCCTTATTTTAGGATATAATGGACTCTTCACACACGGAAGTGTTGCCAGATTCAGGGGCCAGACCAATGGAGGAGGAGTAAGTATTTGTGACTTTTGTAAGTTCTATTGCATTTTGATACTTCTTCAGGTATCAGCCAATGGAATAACCTGTTATTCATTCATTTGTGTCTGCAGCATTGTCCCGCAATCTCCATTGACAAACGTTGGTGATGTTCAAGTTTGTGATCCAATAAACCAAAGAGAATCACCTGCTGCTCAGCATTCTGATAGTGACCTCCCTCATAATATTCAAGATCCTGAATCTGCTAGAGATTTGGGTTCTCAAGATGCTGGTCCAAGAAATCAGACCGATGTGATCAATTCGAGTCCTGCAGCCGACAGTCCTCAAGTTCTACCGGAAATTGAAGTTCTTCGTGATGCCAATAATGATTTAAATTTAGAAAATCCTCCTCCAGTAGTTCCAGATCCTGGGGATAATACTGAACCCAGTAGGATTTTTGACCAAACTATGAATGACAAGGATCATATTTCTCCAATGGTTGATGATTTGGATGTTGGAGGCTTATCTGTACCATCTCAGCAACATTCTCGTTTGCCAACTCCAGATACTTCTCAAGGGGCACCCGAGATACAAGTTTCTCTGGGTGGGTGTAGACCTCTCTTAGCTGCATTTACCTATGGATCAGAAAATCACAACGCTGATATTTTTATTCTTCTTTATACCATTTCAGGCCATGCTTCGCCTAACTTGGTGCTTCGATCAAGTCCACCAGTCCAGCAGCCACAGAATAGAGGAAGAAAGAGAAAACAGTTCTTTGATACGTCAACAGTTTTGACTAATAAGTACGCTGTAAAATTTTGCTTTATTGAATCTCTACTTTTTCTTTCATTTGCCTATTTAACTAATTTAGTTATAAGTTTGTGCCGTTTATAATCTTAGTTGCTCATAGTGTTGAGGATTTGTAGATTTATGAAGAAAGCTCTTGATAGTACGGGTGATTTACTACGGAAGAGACGTTTTATGCCTTCCTCTGCTTTGGATACATGGAAACTGAACAACAGCCGAAGAAAGGAACAAATTTTTGATCACCCCTTGGTATCAGGTAAGCAGATGTCAACCTTTTTACTGGAGATCCTGTTGCCTTCTAGTTTTATGAACTTTTTTCCAAAAACTCTGTCCATTCTACAGGGCTATGCAAGGATCTCTCAGATATTTGTCAGAGGGATTATATAAGTGCAAAATCCCACCTGGTTATATCTGAGGAAGATCGTATGGATGATGAGATTGCTAGAACTCCTTCAACTAGCCATTCTGCCGAAGAGCCTAGAGCTGCCACACCACCTGCTACAACAGGTGCTCAAAATATGGAAATTGAACGGCTTCGTAGTATCGCTGCTACTCCGCCTCCTGTTATACCTACTCATGATGTAGAAAATGAAGTCATTAATATTGAAGGTGGTCATGGTAGTCCTCTCAGACAGGATGACATGACTCCTGTCTCAGCTCAAAAATTAAGGTCTGTATCAGTTTCTCCATTGAGGACAAATGATGTGGCTGGGACAGTTCAAACACCTGATTTAGCATCATCCCCTAGAGATGATGGATCCCAGATGGAAACTCCTATGACTTTTCTGGACGAAGGAACATTTCAGAACTTTGGTCTGTCAGATGCTGGTCATTCAATGATGTCTGCTGAAGAAGTAAGTTATTAACTTCTTTTGTGTTTTCTTTTTCAGGAAATCCTGTAAATCATGCAGGATATTTTACTCAATTAACCATACCACATTTTGCTTCAAAACCATAGTTCGTACTGTTAACATTAGTAAAGTATTTTGGTTGTTGTTCTAGCTTGAGGAATTTGAGAGAATAGGTTGGTTCTAGTAACTGAGATCAAGAAATTTTTTTGCTAGAAGTGAAGTGGATAAACCCAAATGTATTTCTAACTTGGGATGGGTAGGATATTGATCTTGAGTGCTTTCTATATTAATGTGCAATGAACTTCACATTTTAAGGATCTTGGTCATGTAGTGAAGATGCAGACAATACCGTTACATTTTCTTCCTCCTTTGATTTGCATATACATAATAAGCAGCAAACTCGCTTCTGGTCACCTTACTCATATTGTAGGTACTCCTAAATATGTTGACTTAAAGAATTATATATGATAGACTCTAATTAGTTGACCTTGTTCATTTTAGGAGCTTAATTTTCTGGAAGCAGACAGTACGCCATCCAGTAAGTTCCTTTTGTAAATCTGAAATGCGCATGCTCAGACAATACTAGATGACCAGTTTCATTTAGTTTGCTCATTCTATTTGCAGGTTCACAAGGTAGCGAAGGTGTAAACTCATTGTCTGTGAGGACTAGGTATTCATTCTAATAGCATCTAGTTTTGGAAACTTAGACGGCAAATCTCTGGAAGGCTTATATTGCCAAATAAATAGCCAGAATATCTGGAAAAAATTATTTTGACTGGCAACCGTTTTTAGTTCACATATAATGAATGCACCCATATTTTTTTTTTTCCAAGATGCATGCTACTTTGATCTGTTTTCTCGTTTCAATTACAATCTTGTAGCCTTTTTGCATGTTAAGTGACCTGTTGATTTCTTGGTGTTTTTAAGAGATTATTACTTAATCACCTATGAGTCACTTGCTCACATATGCCATGACAATTGCACCATAGGATATGGTGACCATTCTTTCTCTTCTGGGGTTTGAATAGATTATTAATCTGAGACATAATATGATGCGTGTAACTGGAATTTGGGGGGGGGGGGGGTGTATCTACAAACAAATCCAAGTGGAGCAAAATAGCTCAGAAGTTATCTGCACAGCATTTAATTTTCTTAATGACTTGGTCCTTTTCGAAGTTCATACTCAATGATTTATGGATTGCTAATTTGTCAAATGTTCTTTGATTGCAGGGCTGTAGCTCGTTATTTGAAAAATCTTTCTCCAATTAGCCCAATTGCAGAGGACCCCACGGAAGATCTCAGCTTGAACAAGATCTTAGAAGGGAAGACAAGAAGGATCTCTGCTCGAATGTTCTTTGAAACATTGGTGAGTTCTGAAACACGCCCATCTATTTGAATCATACCCCTCAATTTTGCCACAAGATGTGAAGGGATAATGCTGGTGCATCTTGTCTTATTAGCATGAAAATCTAAAATGTGAATGTGAGAGTAGTCTTCGTAAAAATTGAGTGAGTGAGAGAGAAAGAAAATCAAAAAATAACTTCCCTATGTGTTCCTGTATTCGTAGAGGGTATTTTTGAATGTCTTAGAGTGCTTGAAGACTGTTTCATTCTACTCGCATGTTTCATTATCCTGAGGCATGGGGAAGGTGGAGGTTTCCAAAAATTTGGGTAACTTGATTACATAAAGCATGCAGATGATGAGTTTGTACTTGTGATTGGTGTCATAATAGCTTTGAATTCTGAAGCGGCTCTCATTTCATAAATTAGCTAGACAAAGAGGTGTACTCACATTCTTTAGGGGTTTACAATTTGTTCTTTTGTCCTTTGGTTCAAGTTTAACAAATTTTCTTTCAGTACTCTTGTGAGCTATTGTAATCTTCTCATGCTAATGTGTACGTTGTTTTCTAACTTATGGAAACTTACATTTGTATGGTTATGTGGAAATTGTTTGTTGCATCACAGGTTTTAAAGAGTTATGACCTTGTTGACGTACACCAAGAAGAACCCTATGGTGATGTTAGCTTGAAGTTGACCACTGCACTTTCGAAGGCTGAAATTTGAAGTCGTGTTTTAAGTTATTTGTATTTTTGGGAGGCCCTGATGTATATATGGGTAAGAGTTCTATACTCTGCAGTACAGGCCATGTAATTCCTCTGAGATGTAAAAAAAGAAAACTAGGGGGAAAAATGTTTTGTTCCTCCCAAGATCTCACTTTCTGGTGATAATAGTTGAAGCTTTAATGGGAGGGGTCTTAAGAACTTGAGGACTTGAAACTTAATTTAGTATGAAGAAATGGAATTGAATGGAATTAGAAGGGGAAAAGGAGATAGGTGAGAGATGAAATGACTTTTCATTTTTCCCTTCCCATACCCCACACCTCTTTCAAAGATACCAAGTGAACCTTAAGCCATAGTTTGAAAATTCTATATAAAACCTTTGCTGTGTCCTGATCTAATTGTTAGAAAACATAGTTGTTTACTCTAATTCTGAAACATTTGCTTTGAATGGCTTGCAGTTGGATTCTAATTCATACGAGGAAAGGAGCTGCATTGGAATTAGTAACAGTCAGAAGGCAGATTTTGGTTTAAATTAATGTTATCTGTATCTATGTAGGTGGCCAAAAGGGGGAAAGTTTTGCGTATAACTTATGCTTCTTTTGAACTGTTAGAATTTTGAAGTTATGACTCTCAAGCTGATTTTACTGTTGCACTTTCAGCTGGTGCTTTCTACTGCCTCACAAGCATGCCATCTTTAAAATTATTGACGGGGCATGCACTTTGATATAAAGAAAACCAAATGTGTTCCCTTTTTTATCTATTTTTAAGAAAAATTTAAATGTCAAATTTGGATAATAAGGAACAATGACAATTAGGGACCTTGGACACATTCTCATTTTTATTTCTTAAATTAGCGAATGAGAAATAATGCAAACTTCAATTCTGTTTTGGCTTCCATTTGCACGTATGTGAATGTGGAAAGGCCACTAAGTTCATGATATTTTTCATGTAAATTCCGCTCCATTCGAGTCTTTTTATTTAACTTTTTTCGAAAAAATTATTCATGTTGCTAATATTATAGATTTGTTTTTTTATATTGTGGATTATATTACAAATATTTAGTTGTCAGGTTAAAACATTCATTCGGTCTTTTAACTTTATTGTTGTAACAATTATTAGTTTTAAAAATTAAGTTTAATATGTTAACATTTAAGAATATTTTATTAGTATTTAAAATCTCAATATTATTTAAAAATATATTTTTTAAAATTAAGGAATCAAAATAGAACCTTATTTAAAGTATCTAATTTATAGAGATGTTTGGTTTGTTTAGTTTCAGACAATAATTTATTTATCTGAGCTTTTAAAAATTATGTATTAATATTTTAAATTTATATATATTTGACAAGGGAATACTTTTATACCCATATAACTTGTGATAGAGATTTTATCATTTGCAATAAAGATTTGAGTTTTAACATTTTCTTTTATTTGACCCACGAGGGTGAGGATTAAGATTTGCCAAAAAGGTCATTTTTACCTAAAAAATATTAACACAATGATTTGTGAATTAAAAGAATATTTTTAATAGAATTAATCAATTGGAGGGAGCAACTAATTTTGATGCTCATTGCTATGTGAGACTTACACCACTGGTATATAGTTTTAAATTTTTTTTCCCCCTAGCACATGTATAGTTTTAATAGTCTAAATTTAAAACTTTCAATTAATAATTTCTTAACTAAAAAATTATTTTTTATTAAAAAGATCAACAATTAAGATACTACCTCCGGTCCTAATTATAAGAGCCAGTTGACTAATTTGAGGAGATTAAGGAAATAAGTTGAGCTAGTTATTTGTCCTAAATAGGTGTTGTCTTTCTTAAAATATCCTTGCTAATCAAATGTATTGACTAAAACTATAATTATTAGAAGGGCTATCTTGAAAAAAATTGAGTAAATATGAGAAACAAAGTGAATTGGAGTCTTTTATTTAGGATCAAAATAAAAGTCAAATAGGGTCTTATATTAAGGACCGGAGGTAGTATTATTTTTATTTTGAATTCTGTAATCATCAAAAGAAGACACTATAACATTAGTATAAAGTAACTTTTAAATTTAGTAGTATTGATTGTTTACATTAAAAATAATTTACTACCAAAAAAGTTCTAAAAAGCATTCTCTTCGCTAAGTCAACTGATAGAAGCTCTGGTCCAAAAAAAAAAAGTGGTTAAGAATTCGATTTCTAATATTTATTAATAGAACACAAATTAATTTGACTGATTTGTTTTCTGGGACAGCAAATCACGTTTATGACAAAAAGTCTTGCATAGCGTTTGAAATGTGAAGGGGGATATCCAATAATCATCTTAGAATCCCATCTTGGCTAAATATAAATTATTCAAATTTAATATTTTAAAAACTATTTCTATTATAAGTGCATAAATAAGACAGATGATGACATCAATTTATTAAAAGAATTACGGTGTAAGTTTTTTTGTTTTTAAAACTTTCACTCAAAACTCGAAAGTTTTTGTAATTATAAATTTGGTCCAAAAGCCTAAAATCTTAACAATTTTATCTTTTACTGTTAAACTAATGTTGATCATTAAAATAATAATACTGTTCATTAAGGCGATAACATTTTTAACAATATAGAAAAAAATTGTTACAATTTTAAACTTTCAGAACAAATTTATATCAAAACAAACTTTCAAATATTCGACGCTCTTGAATGAAAACTTTTCAATATATTGACATCTTAACCCTTTTTAAAATAATAACTATGAATAATGAGTTTTTTGATCTAACAACGGAGATAATATTCTGAAAAGAAAATGAGAGGAAGGGATTTTGAGAGCTTCCTATTCTGAATATCTAAATTAATTAATGCACTTAAAATTGTGGTTCCCGTTCGTGTTCCGTGCTTGCTCGTTAAGCAATGCTGTCCATGCCCTAGCTTCGCTCCCTCCTTGTTTATTCAAAGGAATTGCACTAGGTCTCGCAAAAAATAAAATACTGCAAAAAAGTTTATGAAAATCTCATAATTGTTTTAGATCCCAAAAGAATTTGGCTGCAATAATAAAAAGTTAAAAAGACCTTGCTGTCCTTAGTATAGACAAAAGTACTGGAGAAAAAAAAAAGAGTTGTCAATATAGGTTGAGATAGTTGTTAATATAGGCCACAATAGTTGTCAATATTACCGTTTCACTTATCAGATTATTAGTTGATATTAGGTGATTTCAAATTACATAATGACAAGTAATATTAATATATCTTATGAATTAATACTTTTTGATAATAATGTGATATAACATCATTATTAAAAGTCAATTATCAATCATATAAAATTATGAAATCACTTGTCATTAGTTAACTTTTTGTATTATAAGTGATGATTGATTTTTAATAACGATATTATATCACATTATTATCATAAAAAAGTATTAGTCCACAGGATATGTCAATATTAATTGTCATTATGTAACTTGAAATCATGTTTTTTCAAACTTATATCAACAGATAAATTGGTAAGCGAAGCAGTAATATTGATAACTATTGCAGTCTTTCGGTGCTTGTTTTGTATCATGGGCAACAAAGTATTTTCAGTTTTTACATTATGACAGTCAAATCCCATTAGGAATCCAAAGCAATTATCGGGTTTTTAGAAACTTTTTTGTAGTATTTTATCTTCTGTGAATTTGCCCTTTATCTTATCCCTATGCCTGTATATATACACATATTTTTACGAGCAAGTAGTCCAACATCTTCACTTCTCAACTCTCTGAAATACTGAAAGCCATTGATTCCTCTTTCTTCTTTCTTTTAGATTATTGTCCCCGAGAAAATTAAAGGGAAAATCACGTTGATGGGTTCAAGGTTTCTGAATTGCTTTGCTGCTGCTGCTGCTGCTTCTTCTTCATCTGCTCGAGTCGCTGATCATACAGAAGCTGAAGGAAAAGCTACGAACATGAAATGACAGTCTTCTCAGAAATCGAAAGGAGCTCCAATTGTGGTTTCTTATTTCCCACGCAACTCTTATCCTTCTCGATTGCAGGAGCTCTTCTATTCCTCTATAGATAAATATATATATATATATATATATATATAATGTTATAGCCGAGCTTCATAATCACGCGCGGCATTCCAAGCAAGCAATTGGGTTTGTCCTTAGCGTTTCTGAAGGACATGAAATCTAGAAGGACATGAAATCACAATCTTCAAAGAAATCGAAGGGACCTCCCATTTCGGTTTCTTATTTATTTATTTATTTTTGCTGATTGTAGTTCCCTTTTATAATTGCTGCTTTCAATTCCTTTATTGTTTCTCTGAACCCTGTGCTGTTTTTTTCCTATTTATTGAAATAAAGTTGATTTATTTACTGTATTTGTTCAGTGATTAGATATGACATATACGTCCGCACATACGTACATACATCCATAGTTTTCTGCTAAAGAAAATTTTCAACAACCATATATGTATAGACATGTCCAGGAATATATTTATCCAATTTTTCTTGAAGCAGTTGTTTAATAACTGTACATATTAAAAATTCTATTAAAGAGTAGCTTTATCTAGTACAGGTGATTAGTAAAGGTATATTAGTGAAGACAATGCTTATTTATTATGAATAACTAACTTAATAAATTTTCTTAATCTATTTAAAGTAATTAACTAACTCTTATATTAAGAACTAGAGATAATATCTTGGTTTTAAGTCGATCCTGAACTTCAATTCGATGCAACTTTATCCTCACAGAAGATGAACTAGTTTGTGCTAAGCAAATCGCAAAATTTGTCGCACACGAATTCTATAGAACAGCAAGAAAAATGAAATGCCACACGGTTTATAATTAATTAACATCGAGTTTAATTTTTAATTATTCCTCCGTGCTCTCCAAGCAGACATGATATATGACTGCCTAATCATATCGATCAAGTAAATATGCGTGTGCATATGTGTGTGTGGGGTTTTGTTTACACATGAAGGATCTTTTCGTTTCTTTTTTTCTCTTTGCATCAAAATAGACCACAGGTATCTGTCATACGGGATGAGGAAAAACTGAAGCTTGAAGTCGCAACTGGCTTCGTTTCTAATTTTGTTCTCTGTGCATCAGAATCTTCTCCTTTGCCTTCTTTGGAGAAACAAGTGAAGAGAGATCGGAATCCTAGCCAAAAGGGGCTTCATTCTTACTACCTCCGATCCTTAATATAAGACCCTATTTGATTTTTATTTTGGTCCTAAATATAAGACCCCAATCTACTTTGTCTCTCATATTTACTCAATTTTTTCCAAAACAATCCTTCTAATAATTATAGTTCTAGTTAATACACTTGATTAGTAAGGATATTTTAGAAAAGACAACACCTATTTAGGATAAATAACTAACTCAACTTATTTCCTTAATCTCTTCAAATTAGTTAACTGGCTCTTATAATTAGGATCGAAGGTAGTATGATTTTTCCAGCCAATTCTTATCCTCTCGGTTTGTAATTAAGAGGGGGGCTAGAGTGAGAGTTTGATTTTCAATATTTGGGTTTGCCCCTATGAGCAGAGCTTTTTCTGTTTGTTTATTATTTTCTGAATTTAAACAAAAAACATTATTCAACATATATTTTCTCGCTTTGAAACTTCAAGATTCATTGTATGACCTGATCACCTCATCAAACTGACAAGCCAGTTATTTGTCGGAGAAATTCTTGCGTGCACTGG